ATATATTATACATATTTTGTTGTTTTAACATTTAATTACCTACATAAAATAAAAGATACAATATATATTTGTGAACCATTGTTCTCTTTAAGTATTATAAATATTATATAAAATATATAAAAGAAAAAAAAAATTATAACAACGAGCAATTGTATTATACTTTATTTGTGTACGTAATGTGTTTATTTTTGTTGTATGCTACTAAAATAATATGCAAAAGCGAGGCTCAATAACATTTGTATAAAGATAATTTAGATTACTGTTGTGAAGGTGGTTGAGGTTGAGGTACGTAATTCATGACTTGTGGTAATGATTCGGATTGTACGCTGTGACCTGAACCATACACTTGATTGTAATTGGGAATGTTCTGCATATTGGGCATTTGATATGATGGCTGATCGTGTATCTGGCCTCCAATATTTGGTCTTGGCATCATGTGACTGGGATTAACAGGATACTGTGATCCAGGCATATAATGTTCAACTGGCAAAGGCGCGTAGTTAGCCATCATACCATTATACATCTGCATGTGTTGTGGGTGTATCATATGTTGTGGTGACATAGTGGGAGGTTGTATAGTTTCAGTTTGTGGTTTGGGTGTATAGCCTGTCACTGGGTCTTTCATAAATATGTTATACAATTTTACCGCTTCTAATAGTTCTGTACACAACTGRGTGAGTTGRGAATGTTTTTTGTCGAGCTGTTCAAGTTGAGCTTCTATCAACGGACCCATAGCGTTTGCTTGTGCTTCCAATATGGACATTTCTTCAGTATCTGTACTGTCATCTTCTGGATTTGCTTCTCGCAATAGCTGAAGCAAACAATCAATTTTATTCTCATCGATTTCAACAGACTTATAATCTTCAGCAGAATGTTTGACCTTTGATTTCTTTGAATTGACTTCTTCTGATGTGTCCTTTGGATTCGATAAATCTGTGGTCACAAAATTTGCTGGGAAAAGACCTTCAGGATGCTTGTCAGTAAATCCTTTCCACCAATTAGGATCGGAAGAATCAAGAACGTAGATTATGTCTCCAGCAGAAAATGACAATTCGTTGTCTTCGGCTGCCTCAAAATCATACAGAGCTTTTACTTTTTTTAAATATGCTCTCCGATCTGTTTCACCTGTTGTTTTTTTCTGTGCAGAGCGTTCATTTTCTAGCAAACTAAGTTCAATAGCTTTGGCTATATCATCTACTTCTTGTAATGATACCAAATCTTTTGATTTAGCACTTTTTGATTGGTTAACTTCTGAAGACAATGAAAAGTCTACACCTTCTTGTTTTAATTTAGTATATAAAGATGGTATAAGATTCAACTGTGGATCATTTTTAAATTCATTTTCTGCCCATTTTTTTAATAGTAATTTTAATCTATCTGAAACTTTATGAGGTAAATTTTTAGCTAATAATTTGCGGTATTCCTGTTCAAAATGTCTGGAAGCCACTTCGAGTAAGAAATTCTTTCCACAATTGTTAACACAGGCGTCGAAAAGTGTAATGGCCTGAAGTACAACATGTGGATCTTGGTTATTAAGTCTTTTTATTATTGACTTAAGGCAGTCTTTGGAATTAACTGAAGAGGCTCCCACTTTATCACATATTTCCATTATTAAAGCCCAATCTTCAGTTGTGCTAGTACCACTTGTTGCCTTTTCAACATCAGCATCAAATGAAGACGACAACAGAAAGGATCCCATGTTGAGTATCACACTAAAATAAATTAATACAACAATTAATATGTATTTTGCCTAGATGCCACCATTACAATGTTTATTTTAGGCCAATAATTTTAAGRTTAAAATAAGCTCTTACAGTAGCAAGAAACTTATTATGATGAAAATAATTTAAAAACATGAATAAAAAAAATAGGTGCATGAAACATTGTTTGTTAACCACTCGATAACAGTGGAGGATAGACCCACCGGKAATTGGGGATTTTCCCGGTAGGCCCTATCCTGTGTTTATGTGSGTGTCACYGTTTTCGGCCAAAATATACCCTTCCCTTTTCAGCCAGGGCCACTTTTCAGCCAACACTTACCCTACTCTTTTCGGCCAAAACTTTACGTTTACTTTTCGGCCACTGTTCCTTTTCGACCAGCACAGTTTTCTTTAAAATTTACAATTTTAAAAACTTATGAGTTATGATTGTATCAAAAAATATTACATAATACTTTGAGAAAAAATAGTGAAATAAATAATAAATAAATAAAATAAAATGTTATAATATAATACATTGGTAGAATAAAAATATAATAATAATTAAATATAGGTACAATAAATTGAATAAAAATGTTGAAATATAGTACATTAGTCGAATAAAAATATAATAATAATTAAATATGCATCTAATTTTCATTTAACAAAATAAATGTAATAATATGTTCAGTTGTTAAAATAGTAAACTTTAAAGAAAACTGTGATGGCGGAAAAGTAAATGGTAAGTTTTGGTCAAAAAGTGAGACTGGCCGAAAAGGGGGYCGCCCATCGATGCATGGAGCCCTAGGACCTTTTATCAAGCACTGAACCTTGTGCAATGAAAATTGAAAATAATTTTAATAAAGTTGACTAATTTAATATTTTTAACCACTCTACCGCAGAAAAAAAAATATATTGATTATGGAATCATTTAGCTAGAAATAATATTTATTTTTGTACCCTGTATCGGCTGTATCATTGGAAATATTGAGATTCATTTATTGATTAGAGTTAAGTATAGAAAATATTATTGTTTAAATATGGTTTAATTATGGTTTAATATTGGTAGATTATAGCTGTACTGTAGTATAATGTACCAATGCAGTGGTTATCGCTCGTGTCTTATTTTTTGGGGGTTTTATTCAAATTACTTCCCGCTAAAAAATTATAAACCTATTCGCCACTACTCAATAACAACCTATAATTATTGAAAAACTGTAAATAGAATATTACCCTAAACTCAAGAAGTATATTATATGCAAAATGTGGTCCCAGTTGATTGGTTCAAGGATTGTCTACTAATCACATACATTAATTTTTATATATTACATGGATTAAAAATATGCAATTTATATGTATATTTTATTTTTAAATATAATTTAGATAAAAACTAAATATATAAATAAACTAGCACTGAGCATTATTTTGACCAATACGAAATTACAGATTACAATTTTTTAATTCAAATTTTGGATCAATCCATTTTATCCAGATTCACGGATTCGACCTGTCGATCCGGAATTTCGGGTTCAATTTATTGATTTGGATTTTTTAGTAAAATACATATTTTGTGAGTAGGCAGTTAAAGAATTATAAATGCTTAATAATCAAGATTTATATCATGTAACTTTTGTTTTGATCCGGATCGGTAATCTGAATATGAATTGATCTGAATTTGGTGTTCAGCACTAAAATAAACTAATATGTTTAATATTAAACAAGTACCTATAGGTAGTATAATAATGATTTAGTAGGTGATAAGTTAATTATAAATCTAATTAATCTTCCACTTTAATTTCCTTAGCTCTATTAATAGTGAGCAATAAGGATATTGAAATACTATATTATTGATATTTACTACAATAAATTTGGAATTGTTYGTGATTTAAATTTTACATGAAATAAATTACAAATTTGAAAATCATTCAGGTTAAAAGTGAGAATGAGTATACTTAWACAATCACTGTTTTTACATTAGAAATTATTCATAAATGATATGAAAAATCTTAGAAGTTAAAACTATATAAAGAAAATCAGCACCTTGGAATTTTTTTTCTGCTTAACGCCCTGCATTTATTGCAATAAAAAACAATAGGGATAATGAAAATGCATGTATATATGTATTGTAGTTAATACATCTTATAAAAATAAATTTCATTGTTAAGTTAGGAGTTTGAAAATGCTATGAAAGTCCAAAATAGAAAATTTAAAGATCCATTTAAACAAATACTTAACCAGTGGAATTCTGACTGTAAAATTTCACTAACCATTGATTAGCTGTTAACKTACAATAAGGGCTAGTTGTACCATTTACGGTTAAACTTTGGTTATGCTTAATCAGCTGATAACCGTGCAAATTTGGCCGATTAAACTCCAGTTAACTTTAATTGGAAATGGTACAACTAGCCCTTAACCGGTAATTGTAAGAACAAGCTAAAGTAAATAGTAAGTACTTGATTGGTCATTGTCTACAAAATTGTAGTTACGACGAATTGGTTTATTTTTTTTTTGAGGTGATTAAATCTTCTACCTTAAAGTTCTACTTACATAATATAAATTCCTTGAAGGATCTCAAACAGCCAAGTCCCCGTGGCCTATTGTCAATTGACAGTTACTTGAAAACGAACTGATTGCGATACTTCCTTTGCCGAAAATAATATGCCGAATGAGCAACACGGATTCGTAGATGCTCTTATGAATGTTGCAATTTCTATTAGTTCAAAGAGCAGTATGAAATATTACTGTTTAGCGATGTTTTATAATTATATGGTACTTAATTATTAATTAATGTTAACAACAACTAACAAGATTACATTGACAAAGGCGAGGCCAAATTACTATTATGAGTTATGACTTATGAGTATTATTATGAATTTCATTTATCGATACAATGATAACAACAATCATCTGATTACACATCATATGAGGTAATATAATTTGGTCGCTACGGTATAAACCATATTGTTAGCTAGTTACCTAAAATCAAAAATATGACGTATTATTTATATATTTTTTTTAAATGTTGTTTATAGTTTATCCGAGCTATTGCTTGTTATAACTATAAACGAACACTTTCTAGTTTCTAAAGCGTTTAAAAATTTAAAATTCTGCATAATTTACTATAACCATTTAGACAATAATTTTTATTTTTTATGTTTAATATATGAAATAAAATCTTTCTTCTTCTACTTGTGGAGTAATTTAATTTATGTAACAAACATATAAGTGTATTTTWAAAATATACGCATTTATGTAACATATTTTTTGTTATAGACTTCATTAAACTAAGTACTRACTTTGAAGATGCCCGAAAAAATTGAAGAAGTTCCTACTATTGGYATTATTTATCCACCGCCAGAAGTAAGGAGTATCCTTTATTCAACAACATTGATTATATTTTAAATTGATTTATTTTGTTTAATAATAAACCCAAAGTTTTGTTACTAATTTAATGATTACATGAAAAATCTATTTGGATATACAAGTATGGTATGGTAAATAATTTATTTAGTTTTAACATTAATTCAATATATTAATATATTCTATAATCTGCAATGGTTTTAGTATAAGTACTCATTGTTTAACTTTTCTGAAAAAAATATGGTGAATACTACTATACCTAACCTTTTAGACTGAGAATTCAATCCTGTGTGGCAAGGGCCAAATCATATCTTATTAATATGTTATACTATATAGTATATAGAATATGTTTGTAATTCATTGAATAGTTTCTTAACTGCCTATTAATCAAGATATCATCGATAAAACTGCTAGTTTTGTTGCACGAAATGGACCAGAATTTGAGTCTCGTATTCGTCAAAATGAATTGGGCAATCCCAAATTCAATTTTCTTATTCAAAGTGATCCTTACCATGCATACTATGTACACAAAGTCAAAGACCTTAAGGAAAAATCTAGTGAGTATTATTTTTTTTAATTGTGTACTTACATAAGTTACTTATTTACCTATTTTTATTTTTATTTTTATTTTAAATTAGCACAAGAGCCAACATTACCACTTAAAGAAACAAAAAGTATGTCTACTGCTACCCAACTCAAACAACAAGAGCTTCTGAAACAAGTACAGGAAGAAATATTTGTACCAAAAAATCCACCAAAAGAATTTAAATTCATTGCCAATCCTCCATCAATATCTGCTCTTGACTTGTATGTATTGATAATTCACTTTACCAAAAAACATAAACCTATTCATTTTTAAATTTCAGAGACATAGTGAAGCTTACAGCATTATTTGTTGCCCGTAATGGCAGACAGTTTTTAACCAATCTGATGACAAGGGAACAACGTAACTTTCAATTTGACTTTTTACGTCCACAACATTCACTATTTCAATACTTCACAAAGCTTCTTGAACAGTACACTAAGGTATTGATGCCCCCTAAAAATATTATAAAGTGTTTAAAAGAAGAAAGTTATGATCGACAACATATTTTAGATGATGTAAAATATCGTTCTGAATGGCAAAAACACCAAGATGCTTTACGTAGAAAAGAAGAACAGCTTATAGAAAAAGAAAGATGTAAGTTTTATTAAGATACCAAAGCTTTTGATGATCTCATAAAATGCATACGTTTTTCAGTGGCCTATTCTCAGATTGATTGGCATGATTTTGTTGTTGTAGAAACTGTTGATTTTCAAAATGGTGAAATCGGTAATTTTCCTCCACCTACTACACCGGATCAAGTTGGTGTGCGTATATTAATGCAAGACCGTGTAGATAATGGGGAAGAAGTTGTTGAAGTGAGTGATGTAGAAAACAACTTGCTAGTAGACAGTGATGATGAAACAGAAAAACAAGTTAATGTTGAAAAGTATGTGACAGAAAGTGAACTCGGAGTACCCGGTGAAGAAAAGTCCAGTAGAGACGACAATCAGGTAATATTTAAAATTTGTATTTATGAACAAAAACATACTATTTCATTTAAATAAAAAAAGGTTCAAGACATGGATGAGTCGTCCAGTGACGATGATGGTGATTTACCACCAGATGTTTCAAAATCTGATGATCATTCAAACCAAATGACGCAGCCAGAAGTTCCAGAAAAGGTTATTGTGAAAAAAGGATACAATCCTAAACAAAGTAAGATTTAATTTACCCTACACAAAACATGTACTCGTATATTACTATATTTGTTGTAATACTATGTAACTATGTATATATTTATACAGTTGTACGAGCACCAGTTAAAGTATCTCCTGAAGAATATTTAATATCTCCAATTACTGGTGAAAAGATACCTGCAAGCAAAGTGCAAGAACACATGAGAATTGGATTATTAGATCCCCGTTGGGTAGAACAACGAGACAAGCATATCAGTGATAAAATGAATCAGGAATCTGTGTATGTCCCAGGTAACTATTATTGACAAAATATACTAATATACTTAATTTGCTTTTTAAATTATTATTTTACCTTATTAGGAGCTGCTATCGAGGAGAGTTTAAAACAGTTGGCTGAACGCCGTACTGACATATTTGGTGTCGGTGTTGAAGAAACTGTCATTGGTAAAAAAATTGGAGAAAAAGAAATCAAAAAAGATGACAAAGTAAGAAATATAAAAACATATGTTTTAAATTAAAATGGATTAAAAATATTATTTGATTTTTTTAGGCTACATGGGATGGGTACACCTCAAGTGTAGAAGCCACAACTCGTGCAGCACGGGCTAATATCACCCTAGAAGATCAAATCCACCAAATTCATAAAGTAAAAGGTCTAATTCATGATGACAAAATAGAAAAAATTGGTCCAAAACCTGTATCAGGTACTGTAACTATTTCTCATCCACCTATTTCTCAAGCTGTTTCTATACAAATGGCAATGGCTAGTAATATTCACAATGCAATGATGCAACCACGCGTTCCTAACATGATGCAATCGCAACCTATGATGATGGTTCAGCAACAACAGCAGATTATGGGTTAGTTAAAAATATTATTTGAACAACTTATAATATAATATATTAATATTATATTCAATTTGTGACTCAAGTTTTTTCATTATTTTGCACTTAAAATTATGTAATAACATAACTTTATATTCACTTATCAAATAATAATATAATACTAATATTAATATATTTTATATTAATACACTATTCTCTATTCCACGAGAGATCACAATTGATGCCATTGGCGGGTTGAGAATTAACTTACGTCAGAAGTTGATGAGAGACACTCAAAACTGACAAAAATCAGTTCGGTAGACTGATTATTTTTTTATTATTATACTCTTTTAGAATAGCCCAATACTTACAATGGATATTAGTTTCCTTTAATATATTAATATGTGTGTTATATTTTATGTTAACTATTGTAGTATGTTTTGTAAAAACCAAGATTTTGAAAAAATATTTTTTTATGAACAAAACCCTCTTTAAATAATATTAATTTTTCTTAGTTACTTATTGATATTAACATGTTTTTAGTTCCACAACCTCAAGCTTATCAAGTAATGCAGCCCCAAATGCCACCAAATCCATTCTTGGGAGCTGCTGGTAGAGGAATGATGGAACCTTCAATACCTCAGGGTCCAGTATGTATACATTACTATTTTTTGTTTAAATAATAAAAAAAGTTGTGTTAATTATAGAGTATAAATTTGTTAATCAGCCTGTAATGAAGCATATAATGAAAATTACTGAAGATGAACCGCTTATGAAGAAACAAAAGACAGAAGATTCTTTAGAACCGGAAATACAGTTTATGAGGAAGTTTAATGTAAATAGTTTATTTTATTTACTTTTTTTTTTTTAATTCTATGATAATCTACTAACCAATTATGTGTTTTAGGGTCCTGTCATGTTTAATGTTGGATTACCTGTTCTTACCGACAAGCCTGAATGGGCCCTCCTTGGACAAATACTTAACATAACATTACCCCTACAAGAAACGGTGGCTATGATCAAGACAAAAATTCACGAATTAACTGGAATGCCACCTGGCAAACAAAAACTTCAATGTGATGTATGCAAACAAATTCTGTCTTTAAAATATTGTGCAAATGTAATGAATTAAATTGTTTTTAAATACATTTTCTAGGGATTGTTCTTCAAGGATTCCAATACGTTAGCTTATTATAATATAGGACCGGGTTCGACTATCCATTTGCAATTGAAAGAACGTGGTGGTCGCAAAAAGTAATCATAACAAAATGAAAAGAATTTTTATATCATTTTAATTACCATGGTATATTTTATAACATATAAATATATTTATTCATTTATTCATTGCATAAAATAAATTTGATATAAGTATCAATGTCATAATAAAAAACCAGTTCTGTTTATAAATGTGTATCTTATTTTCTAGTTGCAGTTAGTACCTCTTTAATAATATTATTGTACCGCTTGACCATTGGAGTGTAAATCTAAAAA